TTCATTGTCCTGTCTTGGCCAAATGTTTGAGTACCCTTTCCTGGCCTGGCCGGGATCCTAACACAGACCCTGCGGGTCCTGACAGTATGACACAGGTACTCTACATACATCTAACAACGAGCGATTCAAACAGCACATCTCGGGCAGACTTGCTGGGTTGAACCTGAACTTGCCAACCCACACGGATTTGCCTGATAATAGGAGTACTCGCTGGCCAGAGCGTCGCGGACACGAGCGTAGAATCGACAAACGTCGCTTTCGCCGCGTATTCATATTGAACAGCACCTTGCTCATCTCGAACAATCAAGTCACAGACGTTGTCACCGATGCGGTGGTAAAGTTTCTTCGTGTCCCGAACCACTTGAATTGCATTCACACGGGTCGAATTTCCATAGATGCTTTGAGGCACTGTGACCTTGACAGGACGGTCATCGCACCAGTCTCGTTTGGTATGCTGCACGCCTTGCCAGGATTGCGCTTCGTCCATAATGATGTCGGCAATCTCGGCGGGTAATGCTGGTAGAAGTGAGGACTGATCCTCTAGCGCCGGTTCGCCGGTCAGCAAGCAAAATACGGTCTGAAGGTCGTCAGCGGTAGCAAAGCGTGGAAGTAAGGAGAATGCAAGAGGATTGACCTGGTCGTAAATGCTGCGCAACGAACAAGCACCATAAATGAGCAATCGGAAGGCACACTCCATTGGTTGGAAGCAGCTCGCGTGAGCTTCAATGGCTTCATTTGGCAAGGACCACTTACTAAGGTCCCCGTCCATCATGGTCCCTGCGTGTATTGATTGCTTGAGAGCAAGCATTGCTAATGCAATTCCGCGCTAGACTGTTGAGCAATGCAATGAGAGCAGGATGTATTGATGACTCTGGCTCAAAGTCAAAGCGCATGATACCCATACAAAATATCCACCAGCTTCGGGTTCATCTTGAACGCTTCGGCAATCGCCTGGGCTCCAACATCGCCAATCTGATTGTTTTCCAAACTGTGCGTTCCATCCATCAGTTAGCTCTCTGCGCCAAGTAGAACTTTGAGGGATAGCTGTCTTACAAGAGGCCATACAGCGTCGAGCTCACCTTGAGTGCCTCAGCAATCGCCTGCGCTCCAGCATTGCCAATCTCGTTCTCATTCAAACTAGCACTCTGTGTGCCCTCTGCTGAATCATCCACTCACAAGCATCAGTCAAAGTGCGATGCCTTACCAGGGCACAATCAGCCCTGTGTTGACCTTGAGTGCTTCAGCGATTGCCTGCGCTCCAGCATTGCCGATCTGATTCTGCTTGAGGCTGTCCATTCTCTCCATTCGTGAGCACCCTGAATTCGTTTTGCTGGATCGCACATACACAAGCATCGTTGAAAGTGTTATGACTTACTTGAGACGCGACAATGTCGAGTTCACTTTGAGTGCCTCAGCAATGGCTTGCGCTCCAGCTTCGCCAATCTGATTCTCATTTAGACTGTACATCT